ATCCGAAGTGGTGTTGACGAGGGCGTAAACACGCTCCTTTCGAGTCTGGTGCATGGCGTTTCTGACCTCGTAGTCAAAGTGCGATACTACATGCTGGGCATCGGCAATGTAGGCGGCAAAATCTTCTTGGGATATTGAATTGGGATCGACCCTTCGCCGATCGCCCTCACCATCCTCCTGTTCTGCTGTCTTGATAGCGGCAATAATGGGCTTGGCTTGGTCATAGGTGATGCTGCCGCGAGCCATCAGGGCTTGGAGAAAGGCCCTGCTACCATCATTGTAGCCTTCAGGCAGCAGATCGTCCATTTTTGGGTGTTGATTTATCCGATTATCAATTGTGATAATACGTCGGAATCTGCCAACAGCAATGTTGGGTACCAGGTCGAGGAGCTGAAGTCTGTCATGTGATTATCCGTGCCTGTCGACTACCTAGAGTTGCGGCGGGAGACGCGTCCCAGGGTCCATGAAAGACGCGTAAATGGATTTTCAGCACAAAGTGAGCATAACTACGCACAAGTAAAGTGCGTGCATGCGTTGGACGTTTTGATCCAATGTATCCACTATGGCGGGGGGCACCGGATCGCACAAGCCGGCGCTAAGTGCCGGGACTAACCGGGATCCAGCATAGGCTCGATAGGGCCAAAGTCAGTGCCACAGAGCCTGACCCCGCTATGTCTGGCCCAAGCTCGCGCCACTGTGGCAGTGCGTCCCTCCCTAGAGCCTATGACGATACCCCGTGGACTTTGCCCATGTGAGCTGTGAAACAAGCTCCAGAGTCCAGACCAAGAAATCTGGGCAGAGCAAGGCGAAAGGCCTCCCAAGCAGTAGGCACTGCCAACTCAGTCACTACGTAGCAGGTAGGTAGGTAGCTGGACTCCCTTTCTACCTTTTAACCTTTTTGCCTTTTCAGCCTTGAAAATAAAAGTTGAGACACTTGCCTGTGACTTTCAATTCCCTTGTTCCGACTTCTTTCCCCTTGAGCATCCCCTTTGACCTTTTTCCACGAAACACCTACAATCGTCATTCCCTATTGTGACGTGACCCATACACATACCTACACCTGAAGCCCCTCTCGACGAGAAGGCGACAGTCATCGTGACAATGCTCGAATATTTCACCTACAAGAAGGTCAAGAAGGTCCGCAACGAAAAGGCAGAACGAGAGCGTCTCGAACGGGAAGCCACAGGAGGAGCCCAAGCCAAGTCGCCGGCACCAAAATCTCCCACCTCTCCCATCATTGTCTCGAAGCCGCAGCCGCGTGCAGAGGATCCGCCTCTTGGTGACCCCTTGCTCGACCAGGAAGATGAGAGATTCTTGGAACGGATCGTGTCGCCGGACGCCAGATACGGCGACGACGACGATGATGTAGAGTCTCGGCCACCTCTGCCTCCCAGAATCCCCACGCCCGTTATGAACTGGGATAGCGATACCGAGAGCTTTACTACCCCGGCGCCCTCGACAAAAGGAAAGGGCAAGGAGGTTGACGTTCAGGATGCCGCCGCCAAGCCTGGCAACAAGCGCTTCTCCGTCATCACCAACATTGGCCGCTCCATCTCGATGCGCAGGAAGCCTACCGAGAAGAGCGGCCTGGCCCTCGAGGTGCCCGCCCGCGAGGTCGTGCGCGAGGTGACGGACATCAACAAGGTCCTCGACGACCTCAACCTGTCGGCGCAGAACAACAAGGTCTTTTCGCTTTCGGCCGAGTCCACCGAGATGGTGCGCAAGTTTAACCTCGTGCTCAAGGACATAGTCAATGGCGCGCCCACGGCCTACCAGGATCTGGTCAACCTCATCGAGGACCGCGACGGCATCCTGGCCAAGAACTACGAGAAGCTGCCAAAGTCCTTGCAAAAGCTCGTCACCCAGCTGCCCACCAAGCTCTCGTCCACGTTGGCGCCCGAACTCCTCGCTGTCGCCGCCGAGGCGCAGGGCCTCAACAAGGCCGACGCCGCCGCCCAGGGTGGTCTCAAGGGTGCCGCCAAGTCCTTCCTCACGCCCAAGAGCCTGCAAGACCTCGTGACCAAGCCGGGCGCCGTGGCCGGCCTGCTCAAGAGCATTGTCAATGTGCTCAAGACGAGGTGGCCGGCTTTCATGGGCACCAACGTGTTGTGGAGCATTTCCCTGTTCTTGCTCCTCTCGGTACTCTGGTACTGCCACAAGCGCGGCCGCGAGGTCAGATTGGAGAACGAGGCCGCGCAGCGAGACGATCCCCTCCACGGCGTCGACCGCGTCGAGGAGCTCCCCGATGACCCTGCGCTACCGGGGCCCAGCAATACTGGCTCGAGCAGTAGCCAGCAGCAGCCCATTAGACGAAAGTCTATCAAATCCTCGCCGTCCCGCGAAACTAGGAAGAACAAGAAATGATGACGAGATGACGGAAGTTGATGATACCCCCCTTTAATGACATACATAATGACTTTTGACAAGAAAGAGCACAAGTGCTCAGAGTTTGACTACGCGAATTGGACGGACGGATGTGGATAGAGAGTTTATAGTTTTTGCGCCATGATCAATATAGTCTTCATCGATGCAGCAATACTTCTTTCCCAATCACTTAATGAACAATATGTGAAAGTAACAACGACAATGCTGATAGTTCCTCGTATGATGTGTTAATGCAAAGATAGTTAAGGTTTCCCCTTGTTCCCATGAGCTTCGTTATAGCGCAGTTTATACGATTGCTGTTCGCAAATAGCAGGCTTTCTATTCGCGAAGCTAGATTTCTTGGCCCCAAGAGCTGCTTGGTCTCACCACCCTTGCCCGGCCCCAGAGTCACGGTGAATTCGTTGTGATAAATATACTGCAAGACTAATCGTCCTGGACCAGCTCCTTGATCTCCTCTCTGCCGGGAGCGATGCCAACACTAACGTCGGCCTTTTCGTCGCGTCCACCAGTGCGGTCAATCACCCTGGCACCATCCTGCATCCAAAAATCGACCTCGTCCACGATATCGGCTACGATGTCCTCGGCAATCTGCTCAATATAGCGCTCCGAGACAGGTTTCAAGTCTCCCTGAGGTATCGACTCGCCGTCGGTTGGAGCTGTCGTCGTCGCTGGCTCGGCTGCACCATTGTCTGTCATTTCCACATCTTCGCTGGGCTGGGCCGTGGTAGGCTCAGTCGCACTTTTACCATAGCCCGGAGGCGGATACCAGAAATCGGGCCCAAAGTTCACCTCGGCAGCACCTCCCCTGAACACGCTTATAGCGGGATAGTAGCCAAGCATGCCGTCGTCGAGGCCTTCTCGTGCACCGACCTGCGCTTGGGGTTTTGATGCTGGCGGCAGAAAGGCCAGGAGATCTGTAAATGGTGTGCCCATGAGCACACCGTTCTTGTAGACCTTGATGCATGACTTTGGTAGCGTGCGCAGCGCCGGCACAGGATGTACTGGATTCGGCGCGTCCGAGTTGTGGGCCGAGCCAGATGCACCGACGGGCGACGGATTGTGTAGGTCTTCCAACTCCTTGGTCGTGTGGTAGTCAATCTTTTCAAAGTAAATGTGCGCCTTGAAGCGAATCGGTATCCGGTCGCGCACAATGTTGGGTCCTTCTGCCGTGGCCAAGTCATCGTCTGCAAGGTCCACGGCCGGGTTGTAGTGTCCTTGAACGACCTTGCGATGTAGTTGTTCTGAGGGTAGCTGGATCTCCAGTCCAATCACATCGCCCTCGGCCATGTCCTCGCCCGGCGGGAAGAAGTCCTTGGGCCGCGACATGTGTACCTTTTGGCCCTCAACGTCGCGTATTCCGTAGCTGTATGCGTCATAGCCCACGGGCGCATCGAGCGAGGCTTCTCGTCTGGCAAAACCGAGGCGCACATGGCCATGCGACTCGACCTTGCCTCCCTCTTCCCTCTTCAAGGTGCCCTTTGTGATCTTGCATTCCCAATACCATCTGCCTTGCCGTACGGCCACATTGGCTCTGGCCATACGATAGCCCTTGTCTGTTGTGATGTGTCGACCTGACTGGTCAAAGAACATGTGGGTAGCCGCATCCTCGAAGCTCATATGCGCTCCGTAGGGTTCGGGCTCGGTTTGGCGATAGTAAAAGGAAGATGGAAAGGCAGGGTCGGCTATACAATGTAGGTAGTGAAAGTTCTTCTTGTTGTAGACACTATTCCTGCATCAGTACGGGGACGCGACAAGTCGGGAGCTCCCAATTGCGACTCACTGTTCCGAGGTCTCGTGGAATGCGACCGCCGAGCCATCGGGCGTGCTCACATCGTGGTGATGTGTAAACATGGGACCGCGAGCGGGCTCAAAGTCTCCTGGCTTCGGAGGCGCCAACTTGTAGCGCATCGGAGAAGACTCATTGGGCAGCGGTTCCTTGTTGTTCTTGCCCTTGGGCTCTGGAGTAGCTCTCGAGCTGCCGGGCTCGGCAATGGTCACGCCCTTGGACTCCCTCTTCTTCAACGACTCCTTTTTCGTGCGCTTTTCTCTCGACATGGCCGGAATATCATCGTGGGATTGTGTCTTGTTCAACTTTGGTTCCGGGTTCGGGTTCAATGGCGAGGATACGGCAGGCACATGGTCGTCTTCCAGAGTGCGTTTCTGTGGCAGCGAGCTGGCTGGATTGTTGGCCTGGGGAATGGCTGGGAGATTGGGAGTCGATTCCCTCTGAGGAAATTCGGCTTCAGTCGCCATAGTGTCGTAAAGAATGACCCAAATCAGTTAAAATTATAAGAACCAGGTGACTCAAGCGGGTTGTTGGAAGAAGAAGAGAATAAAAAGCACATGCAGATCAATTGCGAAAAGTTGAAGGACGAAGCTGGAGCTTAGCGGCACCTTGAACTTCACATCAAGCTTTCGGATTTCCCATCACAGACGCGCCGCGGCTTTTTAGTGGACACCCTTAAGCTCCACCTCCAATGATGCACTTGTCTAATGAAGCCGTTGCAGCGTCACATCACTTTCGGTCAAGTTGAAGCTGGACAAAACATCCAAAAATTAACAAAAAGTGAGCTGTACAATTCCTGTTGTCAGGAACTAATGGGTAAACTATCCATCGACCATCACGGGACTCGAACCCGCAACCTTGGACTGTTTCGCTTGTGAAGACGACGACGTAGGAGGTCCACGCGCTACCATTGCGCCAAACGGCCAGTTGATACCTTTTCGAGTTAGGACGTCTTATGTCAGAGCGCAAAATCTCGCCCCACAAACTCTTGTCAGACAATGCTGTTGGCATCATATTTTCTGCCAACCGATCTTGTAGGGTCGGTAAGAAACACGATTTGTCAAGGTGCCAGTCGAATATGGAGAATGGGGCGCAGTTGTGGGCCAATTGGCTGTTGTGTGTAGTTTGTACTCGGGGGTTCATCACTCTGAGCACACGGAAAACCCAAAGCTAGACCTTGCACGTAGCCAGGTAAAAGAAACAGCTTTGTGCAGTTCATGTTTCAAATGTCATGGGAGAATAGAATTTTCGCGTGCTCGTATCTCTAGTAAGATTGCCGTAGCTGTGGAGTGAATATATGGTGAACTAATTGCTATGAAGTGAGATCTAACGGCCCGCAGAAACAAATGGCGGCTCCCTGGCATATCGATTTATGATCTTGAGGAAGAAAATCATGATGAACAAGATGAATCACAGAGATATATGTGTTCCATGTTCTACGTCTTGATCCAATGGTGACCCATTTATACCTGCTTCAAGAACAAGGAAATATCAAGACCTGAGTTTCAGAATATGTGAGCCACGATGTCTATACCTTGCAATCAGAACATGAAGTTACGCCTTGCAGCTGAGGCTGTATATAAGAGAAACAGTACCTCAAGGTTCCTGGTATACGTTCTATAATCTAAGAAGATGAGGGTCACATGGTGTAAAGTATAGTTTCATCCAGTCAGGTACGAAAGGTTTGGCAGTCATCAATAAGCAGCGTTGCTTGAGGTGTATTGAATGTTCCGGCGAGTGAAGGAACATATAATCATACTACCATTGCTTGGCATGTATTTGTTTCTACCCCTATTATGCGAATAGTATAGATCGCCCATCCTTCTCTGAGATGCAAAGTTCGCATCTGATCATACAAAAACCCCCTTCCAAGCACCGGATTAACCCACCGGAGACGAGCACTCCACGCTCAAAGGTCACGTCTCGGGAAGGTGTCCCACTCCTGGCATGTAAAAGCACACTGCACTCGCGTAGTCTCCGTCATGGCTTATGCTCACAGAAGCGACCAGAGGCTCCTGCACTCCATCGAGCCGGACGAGTGCCACTGGCGGACCACTGCCGAGCGGTTGATCGGGTAGATGCTTCTCTTCCTCCTCGTTCCCAACCTTCTGCGTACTCCCTTGTGCCGCGCCCACGTCAGATCCGACACCCGAGACTGAGGAATTCAAAGAAGTCCGTAGAAGCCGCGGCACTGGCGGGAGGTTTTTGATCTCAATATTTCCAAAATTAAGCCTCTCTTGGTGAAAGGCTTTTATCACTGCTTCTTTGGCTGCGAATCTGTGCGCCATACGAAGTTCATCAGCCCGCTTGAACATTTAAAGGCTGCAATACAACTCACCTGCCTGCCAAGTACTGGGCAGCTTTCAACAGATCCTTCTTCTGGTCATCCCTCTTAGGGAGGTCTGCATCATTTGCAGAGTCTGAATTCGGAGCCGGCAAATTGTTGTCGAGAACGCAACGCAGGGCAGCCTTTGCTTTGGGGGTTTCGCGCTCTTGAGGGGTCAAAACGCGATTGATAAACCTTGGCCCGGTTTTGGATGCGAGTATTCTATATATTCTTCTGATTTGACAAATGTCGTGTCCTAAACCTATTGGGCTCTTTTGCAGCCATTGCATCTTGACTGAAATCCGACGGTTTAGTGAGGCGCAGAGGTATCAACGATATATGTTTGCTTGACGATTGGGCAAGATTAAGCGGAAAACGTCTAGACATCAAACCTTGGGCCGGGGGCTTTTTTAGTGGTGTTAAAGAAGCAACACGGCGGTTATTAGTGGACCCCGGTGATTCTGCATATTGAACCATTACCTTAAGTGTATACATTCGTTGCATCATTTCCCATTATGACCTTGAGCGATCAAAACAGATTTTTTGCAGGGTCAAAACATGGCATAACACATCTTACTGTATTATCATTATAAAGAAATAAAGCACCGTCATTGTGCTATTTTAAAAATTGACCAGTGCGAAAATTGCGCAGACATTGATTGCCAGGCGGAACACGCATCATTGATAGACATAGTAACATCCTGAACGCCTAGAATACCGCCATGTAAAGTAGAGGTCAGGGTATCTGAACATTCTTTCGGTATCGAGAAGGAGTCGCCAATTTTCTGAAGCTGCCAACGTAGCTGCTCGGAGCCCACTACCATAGGTAGTGGCGAATGACCATTGGGAGTAGCGGCTGCCGGGGATGCCCATCGAGCACCCAATTAGTTGCTCTCGCCGTGAAGGAGAGGAGCACGCTCGGTGTCAGCCTCTGCCTGTCTTCGCCAACCAAAGTCCTTACCGGTTGCAGCAGGAACCGCGATACCGACGGTGGCCACGAAAAGGACCGCCATGATGGTGAATGCAAAGATCCATTGGAACGCAATAACCTGTCTGAGAAATTGGCTGACACCAATGGCCGCGGAGAGCACGCTGAGGTTGAATCCCATCGTGTAGTCCTAGTGATGAAGTCAGTCTCAACGTTTCGTAAAGAGGCATTTACTGGAAAATTCCGGCACCTACCTTGTAAGCCACAATGTAGAACATTCCATAAACGAGAATGGACCAGATAAAGATGTTGCCAAAGATTCGAGCAACCAGGGAATCGGGGTGAGGCACCATAATGGCGCCATTCCAGTAGATGGCAACAAAAGTCCATGCCAAGGGGCCAGAGACAACAGCCTCGTGGATAGCTCTAGCGTAGGCCGGGTGGCGGAAATACAGAGATGTCAAATTGGCGAAGTTGAGAATGAGAATAAGCTCAGCCCAGCCAAAGTAGCTCCGCACGAACAACATGACGAAGGCAAAGTGGAACAGGTTGTTGAGAATGAAGTGACTGCCAACAGCGGCGGCAGCGTTCAGCGTATCGGCGTTACCAGACCAGAGATGGATAATGTAGACAGCCTGGAGAATGAATAGAACAATCCTATGCAATGAACCATTAGCAAGGGGGTTCGACCCAACAACAAGCTGTGTTCTTCTGGCTTACCAGTAAATGCTGACAATGACACTGTTCAGTCGAAAGGCCGTGGGAAACAGGTCGTTCTGGCCCCAGATTGTGTGCCAGGCCCAGACGCCATCGTGTGGGGTGTTGAAGGTGTAGTAGAAGCTGACCACAAGGGACAGAAACCAGGTGAGGATGCTGAAGACCTTGTAGGCAATAATTGAGCCGCTGCTATGGGAGTCGCGCTTGGCGAACGGATTGACTGCAAAAAAAAGTGTTTCTTAGTATTGCATTGCCTATTCACAGTTGCATTGAACGTGTGGAAGAGGAGTCGTCAGGCCAGGTCAGGCCAGGTCGGATTGTTGATCCATTGGACGAAGATATCCACGTACCTTGGTGGACTCGCTCCATGGTCACTTTCAATACACTTCCGAATGCTGTGCTGCTGGACGGGGATGTCTGTTGAAGAGTGCACCTATGTTCCTGGGTATCTTGTAGTAGGAATGGGAGATGAAGCAGAAAACCAAAGTGGCGGGCGAAGCACAAGATGCCGGACGTATGTTTATAAGGCGTTCGGTTTCGTGTCTCATGAATTGTACACTGGTATTGAGTGGGGGGTAACAACAACCGTCACACCACACACACACTAAACACACACATCAAGCCGAACCAGTAGGAGGGAGCTCAAGGATTAAGGCATGTACATACAAAGACACTAAAACATGCAGCTGCATTTGCGGGGAATGAACTTATTACTAGGTAAGACGGCCAGTGACGTTGGTCGGCGTCTGCAAACGGATCGGCTAACCGAAAACAAGCTGGGGATAGAAAAGTTGGAAGAAACATCATGCTCACACACATCAATTGATACAATCACGACCTTGACTCTGTTTTAGGGAGGTAGGAACTGCCTAATAAGTCCCCAATCTTCTTCTGTGGTCACTGGCGATGAGTGGCAACTGTGCTAGAAAGAAAGATTTGATTCAATAACCGCCTCAGAATATTGGTCCATTGATGGGCAGCCCCATCCTTTCCAAGCTGGTTGCCCGTTTCTTTCTTGAGGGAGCAGCTACTATGAATATAAGTGTACGTACAAAATACTACTACGAAAAAAAGCATCAATGCCGTTGTGCCTGGCATTGGGGTCGGATTTAGTGTACGTTCTTATGCACCGCTATGCAACACCCTTGACCTGGTTGTTGCCTGTCTCTGTCCGTGGACAGTAGACAGATACTCTGCCTCTTTCGTGATTATAGCAACTTTGACATTCTCTGCATTTTGATATTTGACAATTTATTCTAGTATGTCTGCTACATCTACGCACTTGCAGGTCTGTGGACATACACCTGCAGCGCACGAGCTGAAAAACAGACTGACAGTAACGGCCTAGATTGAAAGGAGGACTAATTTCGTCATTCTTCCATCAGAGCAGCGAATCAAGGACATCAACCCCCGAGAGAGGTACGGACAAAGAAGTCACCAGGTCCATTCCCAGGCTGTGCCAGTGGCTGTCTGGCGTTTTACAACGCCCGGGACCAAGAGCCACAGAGCAGCACCCAGGGTACAACCTACCTGTAATTACCAGGTACCTCATGCACAGTACTATAGTGGGAGGCGTTTTCGGACACCTTTGTGGGCTTGCGCAGCCCAGCCAGTCGGGCCAGTCTTCAATAATTATTGACTAGCCCCAACAAACCATGCCGCGTATCACTCTTCTTTATGGTAGGCCCAGAATTGGGCAATTCGTGTTGCAGATCGAGATTGCCCTTTGCTGTTTCATACGATCACGGGGCGTGTTCGTGCTGCTGTGCCCTGTCCCGTCGAATGCAGTCACTATGTGACGTTCTCCCGATTCAACGCGGTAATTGGAGACTAGCATTACCGTAGACCCAAAAGCCGTCCCAAATCATATTTCAGGCAGCACTTCGTGCAACGAATTGATCAATCAATTTCAAGAGAGAACACACGCTTCGAGATAAGCCATACACTACTGCTC